TTTTATATTAAATATAATATAGGTGTGAATTTTTCCACAAAAGCTTGCTGCTAATTTGAGTTTAAAAGTTACCACTTTTGTATCCCATCAGTCCTCCTGCATTTTATCCTTACAACCATCCTGCGAGGCAGGTCAGAGAGAAAATAACACAAAGTGAGTTTCACATCGGTATGGGAATTTGAAGACAAGCCTCCCTGACTCTACTCCAACCCTTTCCCCACTCCGCCACACTACCTTTCCACACAGGGGCAGGAAAAGTCACCCTGGCTGTAGAAGCAGCAGAATAAATATACTGGTGCAGTCTGATTGAGGGGGGGTTTATTAAGGGGTGTTGGGCTATCTTTTCTGGTGGTGTCTCTGTAAGAGAGAGGGTCTGGTATCTGAAATGGTCATGGCTCTCTCCATATTTAAAAAGAGGTAAGACTGCCTGACCTACCTAGAATCCTGAACCTGTGTGACAAGCAGTGTTCCCTCTAAGCTGACGAACCTGTGTGACAAGGTACGGAGGGTGGTACTGTGAGGACCCTGCCACCTCCTCCAGCTGAGACACCCCTTGGATTGTAGGGTGCCCCACTCGTATTTTTGGACTTAATTGTTTTAATAGGCACTCCCTTTTACAGCCTAAGTGCCAAGGAGATCTGAAATTTGGGGAGTCTCCTAAAGGCCTCTGGCTACTGCCATGACATTGGAAAATCCCAGGAAAGAAGAGGAAAGCTGTGCTGAATTAGAAACTTATTAAGTGCAATCTCCCCCAGCTCAGGAGAAGAAAAGAGACTGCTTTACAATCTCTTTTCCCTTCTCCTCGCCACAAGAAGAAGAAGAAGAAGAGATTGGATTCATACCCCACCCTTCACTACCCAAAGGTGTCTCAGAGCGGCTTACAAACTCCTTCCCCTTCCCCTCCCCACTTGACAGAAACTGCTCTTTTTCAAGAACAGCTCTTATCAGAACTACGGCTTGCCCAAGGTCATCCAGCCAGGTGCAAGTGGAGGAGTGGGGAATCAAACCCGGTTCTCTCAGATTAGAGTCCGTGCACTTAACCACTACACCAAACCCTGTGAGGTAGGTAGAGCTGACAGAGCTCTTTTGAGAACTGCTCTTGAAAGAACAGCTCTGAAAGAACTTGTGACTGACCCCAGGTCACACAAGCAGTGGCATGTGGAGGAGTGGGGAATCAAACCCGGTTTTCTCAGATTAGAGTCCGTGCTCCTAACCACTACACCAAACTGGCTCTCATTATCATTATTGATAACAAAATACTTTTCAGCACTGGAGATATCACCCAACATCCTGACATACCGCAGAAGTGTTTGCCCAGCCCAAGGAAGTTGCTATTTTATTAACCAACATCTATTTTTTTACTCAATCAAGAAGGGCACTCAAGTCATTAACTTATCCTGTTCCAGGAGCTATCTTGACTCACCCAAACTTTTGTGTCAATGCATATCTGGCTCACTTCAGCCTAATTAAAGTAAGTTTAATGTTGCCTTACTCAGGCTCTTTGTGCCCTTGCAGATTTGACTCACAATAGCTTAACCAAGTATCTTCCCCACTTTTTCCTGCCAAAGTTTGACACCAGTTAACTTTAAACCAGCTAATGAGATTCAATCTGTTTATCTTGATCCAATCCAAAACCAGGATGACCAAACTGCACCTCTCCTGGAGATCTTCTGTCATTAAAAGAAGGACCCCAGGCACTAGAAAATTGTTCCTCAGATCCCAGGTCCAGATCTCTGCTGGTCAAAACTCTGGTTTCCTTCTAAAAACTCCTGCTACACTCTGTAGGCTTTTGCCCCATTCCTCCTCCTCGCTCTGCTCCTTGGACCTCAGATGCATCTGCCCTTGGACCTCTTCAGACCTCCAACCCCAGATTTAAGGTTGCATGTACCTTCTCTAAGACTTCCCAATTTCCTCCCTTTTACTTTTTATAAGTGTACCCACTTGTGGGGTGTGTGTGTGTGTCCAAGTGTGATTACTTAGGGAATTTGTTCTCAGATGCCTAGTGTAGGTACTTTACATTTTTACTCTTTTAATTTTTATATCCATTTTATTTGTTTAAAATCACTCACTCTTTTCATATTTTTATTTTGGGGTACCCTTACCAAGATTCCCCTGGGTATACACAGACTGACAAGATCCTGTATTATTCCTTAAAGCTAATTTCTTCTTCTTTGGGTCCAGTTTGGGTAACAGTAGGGACTCTTGAGTGCGTGAAGCTGTGGAAGAAGGTGTCACACCCATTAAACAATGGGTGTAGGAACAGTGTCCAAATAGAGACTCCTCCTGCTTCACCCTGCAGGTTCCCGTTTGAGCTGAGTCAAAAGTTTTTGTTCTCTTATTTGCTTTCTGCTTTAGCTCAAAGCGAAAAGTTATAGAATCCCTACAAGTCATGGTCAGAATGATTATAACATTATGTGGGAGCTCCTTCCAAAAGTGGGGGCATCCAATTAGTCATACAGGGGGAAAGCTCCAGATGGAAGTAGCCTATCAGCTCACTCAAAAAAAGGACAAGATAATCACGTGATTGATATCACAGACAGAAGAATGGATAGTGTATAACTGAAACCACCAAAAAGAAAAAAGAAAAGGTTGCTGGATATGTTTAACCAGGAAACTTCTGTTGTAAAGGGAACTGCTACACAGGAACCTTGTGAATTCTCTGGAGGTGCAAATGTTTCCTCTACCATGTTTCTAATGCTCACTGTCATCTTTTTCATTATCACCATTTCCTTTATTTCATGTTCTGTGCTCTAAATGTTGTTCACTTCAGCACATTAATTGACAAGATGGATAAATCATTCATTCTAATGGCAACATAAGTGTCACTACTTGAGGACACAAGAAATGTAAAGGAATGGCTATGTCAAGAAAAGCTAGGAGGGCTCATTTGCTGGGCCAGCCTTACCATGAAGCTACAGGAAGCAGCGGTTTTGAGTGGCAAATTCCTGAGTGGTACCATTTTCTTGACTCTAAAGCTGATCTTTATGAATTCAGGCATGGAAAAGTCCAAGGCTGTAGAATGATTATGAATAATGTTTTATAGACTAGAATTGTAGCGTAACCATTTGTCTCGTGTCTTAGTTTAAAGAAAATACATAGTTATTGTTAGTTGCTTGTATTAATTGATTGTTTTGCTAGATACAGGAAAGGCGATGTCGGCTGTATGTCACAGTTACCTCTTTATTTTCTATGGGTAAGGGGTTTTGCAAGAACTGGCTACTGTGGGATAAGTGTTCCCAAAGAACAAGCAAAGGTTTACTTCTACTTCTCAAGGGGTCTTAGTGCCAGACTATTATAACACGCCTACCGAGAATTTCCCTTTCCCCATCCGCACGTCCAGTTTCAACCTGAGCTCAAATATACCAGAAATTCCTGGCAGCTGTTGTTCAGAATTGAGAACCACTAGGTTCTTTCTAATTTACCTTTCCCTGGCATGGTATGCCAACATTGGTCTAGAGACCCAGGAGGAGGCGTAAAATGTAAACTGTTAATGTCAGAGCAACCATCCTTCAATATTTTCCACTATCCCAACTTTTCTTGGGAAGAGCTTGTGAAAATAATCTGGGTCTTCTGTTATGTGAGTGTAGGCCTTCCTTACTCTGAACGCCAATTTGCACTTTAGAAAGGCTTTGAGTCCCCTGTGTCTGCCACAGAACCAGTCAAACAAGACATGTTGTGGGAATTCTGTGCTCAGAGCTTAACTCCTAAGTGTGTATAGTTTTAATTCAGATTGGAACGGCAGCGTGTGCGGAGAGGGATTTTAAGCCTCCCCACAATCCGTTTTCCCAAACAGCGCAGGCTTAAGGCCCATCTTCTCACGTGCCACAGCCCCAGTTTGAATGGGTCCTGCTCACACTTGGGAATTAAGTTACCAGCACAGCACTTCGGAGTATGTTTGGTCAACAGGGCCAATGGTGGACACCTGTGGGACACAAGGACATTCTAACACATTAACTGACCTGAAGATGACCTTTGATTTGTATTTAGGGTTTCCAGCAGCGGGTTGGGAAGTACCTGAGGAGGGCAGGGTTTGAGGAGAGCAGGGTTTGGGGAGGGGAGGGACTTCTGTAGGATAACGATGCCATAGACTCCACCCTCCAAAGCAGCCATTTCCAGCACAGCACTTCGGAGTATGTTTGGTCAACAGGACCAGTGGTGGACACCTGTGGGACACAATGACATTCTAACACAGTAACTGACCTGAAGATGACCTTTGATTTATATTTAGGGTTTCCAGCTGCGGGTTGGGAAGTACCTGAGGAGGGCAGGGTTTGAGGAGAGCAGGGTTTGGGGAGGGGAGGGACTTCTGTAGGATACGATGCCATAGACTCCACCCTCCAAAGCAGCCATTTTCTCCAGGGGAACTGCTCTTGGTTGTCTGGAGATCCACTGTAATACCAGGAGATCTCCAGGTGCCGCCTGGAGGCTGGCAACCCTATTTGTATTAGGGTTGTAAAAAGGTCTCCTCACATTTCACATTTCTTTCTTATATTCCAGATACCATGGCCAAATAACATTTCTCAAAGCCAGCTATCTAGCAAAGGGAATGACACAGCTTTCATGCCCTCTGCTTATCACAGGAACACAAAAGAACTGGTTTGGGAGTGCCCAGTGTCTATTTCTGGGTGCACAGAAGTTCGTGGTCAGCACAGAATTCTCTCTCTGCTCAGCACTGTAGTTTCTGAGTTTACATACCAGAGGGCAGATATTGAACAGCTGGAGCACCTGAAGAGGCCAAACAAGTTTTATTTTCTGTTTGTTCTCAGGGTGTTCCTTTCTTTTATTGTTTGTGCTGAATGGTACTGTCAACTTGCCAGTCAAAAAGGTGCAAAAGAGGAGGGGCTTTCTGCCCAGAGGTCCCCCCCCCTCTGATTACTTGCTTACTGCAAGGACCAATTTGATTGTACCTCCCTTATTTTATGGGCTGGAGTTTTAAAGTTTCTCCCCCCAGCTTTTTGCTTCTCCCATCTTTGTTACCTGCCACAAGTAAGAGAACAGCAATGCCTTACACCTACCAGGATTCACGTCCACAAGTCCCCCCTGTGCCCCAAAGCGCACGCTCCACACACTCCACTGGCCAGTCGTACAAGGAGCTAAAGCTTGAATGCCAGCAGAAAGGGATACTTTTTGAGGACTGTGACTTCCCAGCCAAGGACTCGTCACTTTTCTTCAGTGAGAAGCCTCCTGTTCCCTTTGTGTGGAAAAGGCCTGGGGTGAGCACAAATGTATTTCTCTATTAGTTCCATCATGTACAATGCTGTGGAGAATCAGGTATCTGGCTTTTTATTTATTTATATTTAAAGGAGGAGGAATCGGCAGATATTGCCTGCACTTTGCTGTTGCGCCAAATGGATCTCTAGGTCTGCTATGCTCCCTCCACTAAACTGTCCATCAGCACAAGATTAATGGGGGGGGATTACTTTGGCGGATTTCCTATCCTCACTGCTGCTCTGTATGCCCAGTGGCTTTCTGTTCATGAGAGTCCCATGAACTCCAGCAGAGGATTTTCAGGGATCACAGAAAGCTGCTGTGGGAAAGAAGGATAAGGCATAAACAGAAGATAAAGTTCTTCCAGGCATACCTCATAAAGTTCTGTGGACTTTTCTTCATGTCTACAACTTTTCTTTGTAGGAAATGGATAATGTCTAGAATGTTTTGCTAAATTCTCTTGGGTTGGGCTTTGGAAAGACCCCAGTCACTTTTGCAGGATCTGGGTTTTTCTAGACTCTGGTCTGTGGGAGTTTTGGGGGAGCAAGAAACGAGTTTGTACGGATCTTTCCAGAACTGTGCTAGAAGTAAATTAGGATTTCTTCATTCCTCTCTAAGATAATGTGATATGAATGTTTCTTGGTGATGATATTGGTTCAGGAAGAACTGGAGGATGATTTAATATTGAAATAGATTACTGTGTATGTTAAGGACAGAATTTATATTTGTGCCATGGAACCTTTCAACATGCCACAAAGCATGCCTTATTCTCACTATGCTGTAGAACAGAATAGTCTCAGCTGAAGTGCAACTTTGCCCCCAAAATATGAATTCTGTGTCAAACTAATGTTCTGAACATTTCTTTCCACATAATTCCCCACAGGAAAGTCTAAGTTGGCACAATGATTCATTATACTAGAAACAGTCACTATCTGTAGCCTATTATTTTTACTTCCCTTTGGAGGAAAAACCAATAACCCCAACAGGGACACCCAAAGAACCTCAAGAGTGCTGGGAGATATATTTTGGTTTATTATTGTATATTCTTTCTTATTGCTTTGTATGAGATCAGCGTGCACCCCCCTAGCAACTAGCATACAAGTTATAAGAAAAGCCTCCAACATTGTTTGTTTTACATTTTTAAAGCTCACAGACAGATACTCTATCTTTTACTTTACTTCAACTGAATGGAGAGTGACCATTTAGGACTACACAGTAGACATGTGATTCCACAGAAAGGATATGTCATTGAACTGTTGTGATGTCACATAATGCAGCCACTCAGAGCACTCACTTTAGCCATCCTAAACGCTCATCTATTTTAAATGTTCCTGTCTCTCTATGTGAGTGTTTTCCTTTCAGCTACAGAATACCTGCACTGATCTATTCTAATTCTGGGATGTGGATGTCCTGCAAGTGTCAAATATGAAACTGTAAGAAACAAAACTCCCAAACACCACAGCATATAATCCATAGTTGAATTATGTAGCTTGTGCTGTGGCATCTCAGTAGTTCAGTGGCCCCTGCCACACGTGGGGAAAAAGAACGGGCAAAGTGTGGCTTTTTAAAGCTGCACCAAAAGAAACACGCGGCGGCGGGAACACATAGATCCCCTGAGCCGCCGCGCAGTTCCTTCCCGGCACGATCAGATGCCGGGGGGAAGCTATGGAAGGGGGAGAGAGGTTGCCGAACTGCGCGTGTGTGAGCAAGCGCCGTTCGGCCGGGAGCCTGGGTTGCTCCAGAAGACGAGCGCGCCGGCGATCTGACGGCCGCACTTGCTGCGGCTTATCCAGTAAGTCCTCCTCTGGGGGTGGTTATTTTTCCATGCGCATTTTTGGCCTGAAGGGCCGGATCGGGGACGGGTGCACACCGATTCCCAGATGTTGCGGTGTGCTCGCGCCCGTTTGCTCCGCCCCCGATCCGTCACTCTCCCGGACCAAAACCTCTTGTGTGACTGGGGCCAGTGTTTCTTAAAATTGGTGTGTGTGTGTGTGGTTCCTTTCTGTTTCTTTGACTTGCATCCAAAATGGAGGGCAGATGTCAGCACAACTTGTAAAACATTTGCCTAGTTTTTCTTTTCAGATTTAGGGCCAGTTCACAAGGCCATTTTGACATGATTGTTATATGGAAACAAAAAATGGTAACTACACAAGGGTGCAATAAATGTGACATGAAATAAGATATCCTGAAGGTTAAGGGGTGATGGTGCTTCACGCTAGGACTGAACATATGAAACTGCCTAGTCTAGTGATTTTAGGGTGCGTTCAGATGGGCAGCTAATACCACAATTGGCCCTGCTCTAATTTGATCCCGATCTTTTTTATCTGGCATTGCATGACCAGACAGCTCCTCTTACCGCGCGTGTACTCCGCGGTGGATTGTCTAGATGGCATCCACCTGAAGGAGCTGCGCGGTTGGATTTTTTTAAAAAAAATTCTGTTTGTGCATGCACATCCATGCCTCAACATGTACTTGCTTTTCTGCACATACGCAGAGTTGAATGATTAAAGCACCGCCAGTGGTACCTCTCTCTAGGTACCCTTTTAATTAATGCAGTTCATAAAATTCACAGGCCATTTAGAAACATGAAATTGTCTGGAACATTTGAGCCGAGCTCTGCGGCTGTCGTGCGTTTACACGTTTATGCACATATCGCTAAGAATTTTTTTAAAATGGCGCCCGCTCAGGATAGTCTGATATCAGACCATCCCGATGGGAGGATTGCGCGCTGGAATGATCAGACGGGGGAAAGTCTGCAATTGGCCCGTCGGGAAGCAAAACCTCCAGATTTTAACTAGTATCTTTTAAGTATGGCTCCGAAGCGTGTCAAAACGGGATGCTCACGGAACAGGCAGATTTCTCAGATGTTGCCGTCTGGTCATGGCCTTTAAATCCACCAGGCACTCGTGCCTGGCACAGATCTAAAAACCTGTCTGATCGGGACTTTAGACTGCAGTTCAGGATCTTTTGCAGGTGAGTTTTGAGGCCAGGATGGAGGACGAACAGGGTGAGCTGGGAGAGGCAGCCCTGGGAGGCTCAATGACAAATTTGTGTTTGCCTCTGTGAAATGACCACTAAATACACCTTGATGCTTAGTATATGTGTGTATGCTAAATATGAAACATAAAATAGAAACTTGTTCAGAGTTTACTGATATCTCGTATTTTATGCTGGAGAGGGGGAAGTAGCATGGAGCTGCTTTACGAGTGGATTTGAAAAACAGAGTTAGTTTAGAAGTGGATCTCACTTACAAAGTTTGTTAATCACCAACCTAGACTTGCGTCTGAAGTGGGTTCCCAGTTCCTTATTCATGAATCCAACCACAAATATTGATGACACTTTATATCCCAGAATAAGCTTTGCATTGCCCCAAGTTATACATCGCCAGAGTTGGGGAGCTCTGCCATGCAAGAAAATATAAGTTGTTCCTAGGCTTGCCAACTTGCAGGTGGTGGCTGGAGATATCCTGGGATTGCAGCTGGAGAAAATGGCCACTTTGGAAGGTGGACTCTGTGGCATTCTACCTCATTGAAGTCCTGTCCCTCCCCAAACCTTGTCGTCCTCAGGCTCCACCCCCCAAAATCTCCAGGTATTTCCCAATCAGAGCTGGCAAACCTGGTTGTCCCCTAATTGAAAACCTGATTTTAGTGCTAATTGCTCCAAGATGTGGTGCCCTCAGGAGAAGAGCCAACATGGTGTAATGGTTAGTGTTGAACTAGGATGTGGGAAATCCAGGTTCAAATCCATACTCATGCCATGGAAGCTTGCTGGGTAACCTTAGGCCAGTCACATACTCTCAGAACAACCTTTGGATCCTTCTAAATCATGCACCCCTAGACCCTGGAGACTTGTATTCTACAAGGGGGCATAGAATGTGCCTCATTTGCAAGATTTAGAGAGGTTAAAGAATTCAACTTTTAGTGGGATAGATTTTACACACAATTATGTTTTTCTCTTCTTTTTGCACAGTGTAATATATGCACGCCCCATTCTATAGGCAGCATATTGCAAACTTTGGGTATACATGTTGGACTACAGGAATGTATTGTATTCCCAGAAGAATTCTTTCCTTTCTCTGAATGAACACTTTTATGCCATTTAGTTCCGTTTACAAGCTAGACATGACCGCGGTGTGTTGAACAAGCAGGTGGTGCCCACGATGAATTTGCCTTTGTTCTGTCGGTTTGACTTGCCTTTGTTCCTCCCCCCTCATAGTGACACGCCGACCAAAGCAATGTTCTCC